ATCACTCTCGTCATCATCATTATTATTATCATCATCATCTTCATTGTCATCATCGTCATCAGCATCGTCATTCTCGTCATTCCCATGAGGAAACTGAAACGCAACAAATGATAGAAATTAGTGTTTTACCGAATTTGTTACAGGTCAATTTTTAATTACTAGTGATGCGGCAAGACAAGACAACAATCGCAATTCTCACTCTCTTGTCTTCTCTGGCTTTTATCTTGTCTCGTTCTGAATACTCGTTGGCAGCATCACTATTAATTACTTGACATACCTGCTCAAAATGTCCTCCTGCTGGATCCAGGCATAATTGAGCTCTCCTGACAACCTCTGCTTCCACCCTACGGAGCATCTCAGGAGCGATCAATGCCACAGCACCGTGGAGCCGGGCAATCATTTTCTCTGGGGTATTGATGGTCACTTCATAGACTTTGTCTTTGAGATAACCCCAGAGGAAAAAGTCCATCGGGGTAAGGTCTGGTGAGCTAAAGGGAGGAAAAAAGGAATTGGATCTAGGGAAATGGTTTCAAGAATTGGGAAAGGAATTATGGGATATTGGAAAATACCGCGGAGGCCAATGCACAGGACCAAATCTTCCAATCCACCTCTCAGGAAGCACTTCATCCAGGAAATCGGTGACGCCTCTGATGCCGTGCCCGGGAGCGCTATCCTGTTGAAACCAGGCATCTCGGTCACCAGGACCGTCACCGATGATGTCAGGAAGTGTTTCCTGGATGAATGCCAAATAATTTAGTCCCTAGAAAGGGAAGAAAAGTGAATTGATATATCAAATATAATTTTTAAAATCTTTAGCAATAAACAGCAAAAATCTTACATTAAGTGGATTGGGGGCCAACCGCAGATGGATTGCACCAGCGTATATGCAACCCCAGATGTTGATGGCCGACCAACGATGTTGGAAGCGACGAATCCCGACCATGTGGGGATTTTCAACAGCCCAATGGTGCGTGTTGTGCTGATTGAAAATCCCTTCACTGGTAAACGTAGATTCGTCGCTCCATCATACGTTATGTATGAAGCCGGGATTCGCCTGCACACTGTTGAGGAGCCATTGGCAGAAAGCGACTCTGGTTGCTCGATCACCTGTAAAATCAAAAACAAATGTTAGCAGCGTTGACAAAAGAATTATTCGATAATTGACCAAACCGATCATGGCTGATTATCCAAAACCGCGAAACCGCGAAACTGAAAAGAATCTGAGATCGATACCGACGACTCACCGAATCTTAGAGACCGAAAGTTGAAGAACGAAGACCAATACCGTAAAATTTGTCAACCGAAAACCGTGAAAATCCATGAAGAAAAATTGAAAAACTCCGGAAAAACGTTGCTGAGCAATGGATAATACTAAATTGGCACAGGGGAATAAAATTGTAGACGTCAATAAAAATTTGATTATCTGAATAAATCTTTCAATATCAGGTCCAGAGTCTTCATACCTTCTACCAATTCCTGCAGTGGTGTTATGTGAAACGGGTACAGCCCATTGTCTTTCAATATTCGGTGGACAGTAGATTGACCAGTGTCTAACCGCATTGCAAGACGTCTGGTGCTTGTACCTGGATTCGCGTGCACCTCCTCCAGTACGGCGTCGTCGTTCTCGTCTCTGTGGGACGAGACAATTTTGATCTCCCATACGCTGGTGCAATGCTGGGAATACCCGATGGTCAGGGTGTCTACGCTGCGTAAACTCACGGGCATAAATTTCCGCAGCAAGACGTGCGTTATCCCCAGCCAGACCATAGAAAAAATGCATGTCCCGGTATTCCCGTGCAGTGAACATGCTTCTGTAAAGTTTTCAGAGAAGAAAGACCTTTTTCAGAGATCGCGTTCGATCTTTCTATTGGATGACTGAGGAAATTTCCAATCTTCCTATGTATTTAAATCATTAACAAATATTTTTTTTACCGAGTGAAACCGTAGCTGAATTAAAAAAAAAACAATTATTGCCCCAGTTCTTTTTAAATATCTTGAAAACGAATAAACTTAACACGTTTTTTCCTTTTCCGGTAGATTTCTCCCTGGCGGACCAAGTTGAGAGTTGGATTCTCGATTTGTTCCTGTGTTTGAGGGGGAATTGATGGTGAATTGAGAGGTGGAGTAAAGGGGCCAAAAATGTATTTCATGTCCGCCAATGTCTTTTGTGTTTACTTATGCAAAAATTGGATAATAGGTTTTTTATTTTTGAAGGCCTCTCAAAATAATCTGTCCTTTTTTGAAAATTGAGAATTCAATTTTTTTTTAATTTTCGAAAATACGATTTTTGATTCTCAATGGAGTCTCAATATGCTCTCAACTTTTTTGAGAATCAAAAATCCACCTTTTGAAAACCCGAAAAAAAAAAAATTTCAATTCTCAAAAAAAGTTGAGAGCATATTGAGCACCCATTGAGAATCAAAAATCGTATTTATGAAAATAAAAAAAAATTGAATTCCCAATTTTCAAAAAAGTTGAGAATATGTTGAGAGCCCATTGAAAATCAAAATCATATTTTCGAAAATAAAAAAAAATTGAATTCTTAATTCTCAAAAAAGGTGAGAGCATATTGAGAACCCATTGAGAATCAAAAATCCGCCTTTTGAAAACTCGAAAAAAATATAATTGTCAATTCACAAAAAAGTTGAGAGCATATTGAGAGCTCATTGAAAATCAAAACTCGGATTTTCGAAAATCAAAAAAAATTGCATTCTCAATTTTCGAAATAGGACAGATTATTTTGAGAGGTCTTAAAAAATAAAAAACCCATTATCCAATTTTTGCATAAGTGAACACAAAAGACATTGACGGCCATGAAATACATTTTAGACTCTTTTACTTCACCTCTCAATTCACTCTCAATTTACTCTCAATTCTCTCTCAAATTGGTCTTTCAGCGCTGATGGAATTAAATACATTTTAAAAGCAATTGAAGTCTACTTACCTCTTTTTTGGTAATTTAATTGGTTAGGCAAGGCACTGCCCACACCGCACTATGTGAACCGATACTCGACTGACTCCATCAACGACTCAATCACAAAACAATTGAAGAATGAGTCGTTTTTGTTTGGAATCCAAGATCAGACAATGAATATCGGTCGCATAACGAAAATTTTTCGATTGTGAAAACTTTTAAAAATCCAGTGTTTGTCGTTTTTAGTGCTTTTAGCCATTTTTAACAAAAATTTGGTACTGGAATAGCAATCGCTCCAGTTTGTTTGAAATATCTCCGCCGTTCATAGAGATATCACGTATTTTCTTTGTTCATTGGATTCCCGAAGAAATATTCGATCTTTTAATGTATTTAAATTATTTGTAAATGTTATTTTTCCCGGGTGAAACCGTAGTTGAATCTTGACAAAAAAAAAATTTTTTGCCCTAAATGTTGGGAAATATCTCCAAAACTATTGAAGGTGATCAAGGAATGAAACTTGGTAGATTTAGGAGAAAGAGAAAAGAATTTTTGAATGAAGAGGGCTCGGTTGGTGATATTCGACATTCAAAAATGTCATTCCTCTCCTCCTAACAAAGATCAAAAATGAAACTTAGTACATCGCTATGAAATTTTTGGGTTGAACCTTTTCCATGAGCGTCGACGATTTCTCCGGTACTCTCTGATGGCGATTCTAGAAATTTCTATTTTGGGACTATCTATTTCCGCCATTTTTCACTTTTCTCGATCGATCTGTACACTCCCCCGAAGGCCGAATTTTCGGGGCCTCTAATGGAGGAGTTGGAAATTTCCAAGATGGCCGTTCAGGAAATTTCTATTTTGGGACCATGTTTTCTCGGCGTTTCGCACTATTCTCTATCGATCTGTACACTCCTCAGGAGACCGATTTTTTAACCCTTCATTGAAAAAGATAGAATTTTATCTCGGGGGCGTCAGCGCTGGTCGGAGCCAAGCGCCTGATTGGCGGAACTTAAAAAATTCATAACTTTTCAACAAAGCTGCTAATTAAAAAACTAAAAAATACGGGTCTTCTAAAAAACCCTCCTCTACTTCCCCTTACACGGTGTACATTCCTTTCTGATTCACCCTGTATACACCGACGGACACGATCCAAAAATTGTATTTTCGAAGTTTGAGGGGCCTAATGGGTCGATATGAGACTAATAAATAGAATTTGATTTTCATTTACAATGCTTCCATGCTTCGGCAAAGAAGACAAGTTTTTGTGGTGTCCGGTTCATCATTCTATTTGTATTTTGTTATATTACTTTTTCATACTTGTAAGTCGCACAAGTTTCAAAGTGTCGTCATTCTTGGCAATATCTCTGAAATACTGTTACGCCCTGAAATTAACCTATTGTCCTATATCTCAGTTGACTAGTCCAACCAACCCATTAGTTTTTAGCGTTTCCGAAAATAGATCTCCTAGTTATTTTTCCTAATAATTAATCGTTTCTAATTACCCAGAAAACAGATGATGAGGATTCGGGCAATGATGAGCCGACAGACTTATTCTATAATGCAGAACATCGTTTAAGTCAGTCTAACAGACTTCGTTCTCCACGATTATTGTCACCTTCTCTCAATGATGACGCACATCCTTTACATCAAGATCACCCTCTAGATCCTCCGGAACGTCCGGATGTACCTCATAATTCTCTCGATCATACTACCCCCCGAGAAGAGCAGAATAATCAACCTTTTCAATGGAACTGTCGAGGCTACTGCAATCTGAGACACAAAAATGCTGGCGAGCCGTCGAGACCGAGGAGTCTTGTTGAGAGAGTGGAGATGTTGGCGAACCATCGCCATATAGAACATGAGCCAATTAACGAGCCAGGTCGGTGTTTATTAGTCAGTCGCCCTTTGTGAAATCACTAAATAAACAACACTGCAGGAAAGATAAATTTCAAGTGTTTTTTAATTATTCTAATTTCGAGTGATAGTGGAAAACAATGTTAGAGGGTATTTTCCGTGAAAAATTTCATAAGATGTTAACATATTTCAACATTTCAATCTTTGCTTCCGAATGGAGGCCTTGTATTTGACCGATTTTTTAATTTCCTAATTGCAAGTTATGTAGAATGTTCTGTGTCTGTGTGTATGTGCTGCAAAATTCGAAATCTTGTAGATTAATTTTGAGAAAATTTAACATAAATGCGGCAAAATCCGTAGCTAAAGATCTGAGTTTTCAACTTATGATATCAATCATTAACCTTTACGCTCATGCGTCATTTCAGCTCCGTCGGTCCATTAGTTCCTGAGATAGGGCAACTTATGTAAATTTTGTTTTTAATTTTTCATTTCAATTTTTTTTCCAAAATGTTCGCCTCAGTGGGCATCCAAAGCTATGAAAATATATATACATGTTCGTACAAAAATCGCGAGATATTGCCATATTTCCGTTGTTTGCTTCCGAATTCAAGCACTGCAATCATTCGATTTTACGATTCCCTGATTTTGCCTGAAAATTATGTGGAACGGTCTGAAACGCAAAAATACGAAGTTTGAGAGCTATGTGTGTGTGTGCAAATGGTCAACTTTTAAAAAATGTGAAAAATAAACGGATAAATTGATTCCAAGAACTTTTGTCAATTCATAGGACCTAATGTGGATTTAATCTGTTCTAAATTTGAGCCCGATCGGTGGAGTAGTATTCGCAATATCGGTGATTGTTTCTGAAAAGTTTTTTGCGAATATCTCAGAAACTATCCAACTGATTTTTTTTTCATGTCCTTCTCAATATGCTCAATGTGCAGAATATATGTGTTCCCACAAAGTTTTCATTCATATTTCAATTTTTATGTCTCAAAAAGACCTAACGCATGAAGTAATGGTTAAATGTCCCTTGCTAAATCGACTCGGCCAAGTGCATGTTTCCTTGGAATAAGATAGTTTCGTAGATATTCATAATGAGCAGTCACGGACACACGTAAGTGTGTCTGGACTTTAAGGCCCAATGAAAGTATTAATTTACTGTTAACTATTTACTCCTTTGGAAAAAAATTGAAAGTTCTAAAAGTCCGAGTAGTTCAGAAATTTTCACGTTTAATTTCTTCTGTACTTAGGATTTGAAAATTACTAAATAGTAAACTTTCAAATTTGTGCCCATACTTTAATATTTTGGGTATTTCAAAACGATTTATTTAGAATTTTTAATGAAGGATTAAATATCGGAGAAATGGATCCTTTTTTTTGACACTTATTGGGAGAAAAAAAAAAATCAAATTCCACGATGCAGAGGGATTTAGTACTTGAAAATGTTTTTAACCTTCATGTCCAATACCACTTTGTACTCAGGAGTAGCACGGTTTCTAAGTTTTTCGAGACTTGAGAAGCTACGAGCTCGAAAAATGAAATTGTCCCATCACTGGTAAAAAGTATATCCAAAGGAAAAATTCTTCAGCCATTTGTGTGAATTAACAAAATGCTCTTCGAACAATTACAAACACAACTATTAACTTAGTAAATTTAGATACGTACATAGTTCCCAATTTTTCCATGGCCATGATCGCCATCAACTGATCGTTCCTCTTAAATTTCAATAGCCGTACTGTGGCACATTGTAACGTCAGTTTTATAATAATTATCACCAGGTTTAGTAGAACGTCTTCCCCCAGAAGTTCTCCTCGCGGTGTTTTCTCACCTTGACGACGTGAGTTTATGGTCAGCAGCTAATGTCTGTCGTCGATGGTATGGGCTCCTACTTACCCATGTCCCCCATCAGCAATGGAAGCAACACGTCACACTTCGGTGGCCTCTAAACAAAGCCATTGGACACGTGGAAAACTGGTATAAAATTTATGATCGTTTGGCTTCCTCTGCTCCGTGTAGAACTTGCTTAGCACAGATGTGCCTCAAGTCGAGGCCTGCAGGAATCCAAGATACTTCATGGAGGAGAAATAGATTGCGTATGGAACTAAAAAGCCTAAGAATTGATCCTCCTGAGGGCATTGAAGCTACTCCACTGGACAGCATGCATTGTCACTGGCAAGCAACTATCACTGGGCCTATCGGAAGCCCTTATGAGGGAGGGCTGTTTTACTTGTATCTTCAAGTTCCTCACAGGTCATTTAATTTTTTTTTCATAAAATTAACATGATTTTCTTTCGTTAATGTCCGCCAATAGGATAGTACCATTTGGCCCAGTTACTTGGTACTCAACTGATAATTCGTTGATAATCTTATCTCTTACTTATATATGGGGAACCAAGAACTAGTTAATCGGGTATCCACTGATTGAAATTGACAGATTGAGTTTTAATGGCAGTGTAGAGTAATTATTGATAAAATTAATCAACTAAATTGACTTGTGTTTATCAAACCTCTATTCTCATTTTTTTAAATCTAACCATTGTCTTTTGCCGCAATTCTGTCGACGGAGATTTGAAGGAAATATGTTTTCATAATAAATAACTCCCCGAATACAAATCGAGCTTCAAAATTAATCAGATATTTCCCTTTGGCTACTTTGCAAGCAAAGGAGCTTGTTGGGTTTTCAAAAAATTTCATGATTTTTTATTTTGTTTGCCCCGAACCTATTGGAAAATATCAGATAATTTGGAAAGTTCCCTTATTCAATCATTTTTTTAAATACCACATAAATTTTGAAATGTAGCAAACATTTTTTACTATGAAGTACTATACTTGTAATGGTTTAATGAATTGCAGTAACTCATTCTTTAATTACAGTTATCCAATGTGCCCGCCAGTAGTTCGTTTTCTTACAAAAATTCTGCATCCAAATGTATCAAGACATGGAGACGTTGGAATCGACTCAATTCATCATAATTGGTCACTTGCCCTCACAATTTCTAAAGTGTTGATCAGTGTGCAGAGTTTATTGACTGACCCCTTCTGTCAGGTAATTATTTTCGAAATTTTCAATAATTATTTGCAAAACATCGTGAAACGCCTTAAGTTGATTTCTTATACTAGTATTAGAGAAAAGAATCAGTAAATTATCTCAAGTTTGAATCAATGATTAGTTATTATATCTTTTGGAAATCGACGGCAACAGCCGAGTGGTTGAGGCGTCAGACCAGCGTGCGGAGGGTTGTGAATTTATACCGGCCGATACCTATTTTTGGCATTCTTAACATCCAGGTTTCATTGTCGAGCGGGAGTCCCGTTAAAGGGATGACTGTGCCTGACCAAAGGTCTGCTCTTTGGTTAAGGTTTTTTCTTAGTACATATTCATACATATTGAATATAATAAGAAAATGCGATGCAGACTCATGAAAATTGGAGAAGGTATTCTATAGAAAGAAAAAATAAAGTTATTTCCAGGCCTAGCCGTGGAAAACAGATCATCCCTCCCCACATGCAAGTTTGACGATCCGAACCAAAGGCGAGGATAGCAAGGATGTAAGGAAGAGTGATATGTTTTCCACGACGTGGCTTTAACAAAATCTTTCCAAATGCAAGGTCTGTGAAACACACAGCGCCCAGAAAATGGGGTTTTCCATGCATCAGTCTAAAAAAATTTATACAGGGTGTCCCAGAAGTACATGCTAATCCTTTACCAGCATGTACAGGGGGTGATTCTGAGCCGAAAAGTCCTTTTCCACTTTTGGATCAGAAGCACCCCCCCGGAGATATTGGGGTAAATAGGAGAGCCAATAACGCTGCAGCGTTAAACGGCAGTACGTCCGTGTGGCGCCGACACATGCATGAGCGACGCCCCTTCCAGGCAGCGGGCTATGTGTGTGGAAATTCTTAGCGAATTCAGCAGAGTTGAAAACATGATATGTCCAATCAACCAGATTATTTGTTAAGGTGTTTCTTTCCAAGCTCTACCAATACATTTCGAAGGATTTTTGGATTTTCGAAAGTTCACTTATGGTCACCTTTGAAGGTCTTGTTCAAGCTCAATTCAATAATTAAAAACAATATATACTTTTCTAAAACGTGTAGTTTATGATAAGGAACATACCAAAAATATAAAAAGTCCCGAAAATACATTTTTAGAAATAACACATTTATAAAAATATACGTATCTCAAAAATCTCATTTTTAATTTTGTTGGAGCTCGCAGTTATCACAGTAACTTTTACTCATACTTGAGCAGGGGACATTAAAGAGAAAATTTTTGATTATTATTTCTTTCGCTGTTAACTCATCATGGAGTTCCTAAAATTTTCGTTCGAAAATGCCATTAAGCGAATGAAATGATAAATAATTCGAATTGTAACATTATTGATCAGGTATTTCATGTTATGAAAAAAAAAATTCATAATTAAAAGTACATACCCAGTGGGTGAAAGATTTCGAGCTATTCCATAATTACCGTTGGGCAGTTGTGCGTAAACATCTTGGAATATAAGGAAAATAGCGGAAATTTCTGGAAAATTATTTCGGTGACTTCTATTGTCTCCCATATCGAAAGTCTTTACAAACGTCGCCCTCTCTCATTGAGGAACTCAGTCAATTGAGTCTTATAGTTTAAAAAGTCAGAGAAAATTCTCCTTTTAATATCCCATGCTTTAGTATGCGTGAAAATTGCGATGATATTGCGAGAATATAGTCTCACAATTTTAGCATAATTAATAGCATTTTTTAGATTTTTTATGTCTAGAATTACATTTTCAGAATTTTTTTTTATATTATTGGTAAATTTTTTGCAAGTGTATCTTCTCAAAAAAGTATATTTTTTCAAAAAAATATCAAATTGAGGTTGAAAAGGGCGCTCAAAATGACCAAAAGTCATATTTCGCAAAAATTTCAACTTTGGTGAGTTCACTGAGAAAGCCCCCGATGTAAAGGATTCATGGTAATGGGAAAGAATAGGACCATCAGCAAATTTGTAACTCTGCTCATGGCCCTATCCATGATCTTACAAACAAACAAGTATAATACTTACCTTAATACCAATTTGCTGATGGTCTTATGCTTTCCCATCACTGGATGCTTTGTTAAGTGTGCCACCTATTTTCATCATGTCCGTAAATTCATTTGTAATAGTTCTCTTCTGGGTTCTATATTTTTTTGGATATTTTTACGATTATTTTAATTTAATTCCTTATCATGAAAGCAGAGATAGGTACATGAAGTTCGCCTGAGTCGAAACTCGTAAGACTGATTCCCTATTGGTCAACTCGAATCCGAAGTCAAAATTCAAATTCGGCGTACGGAGTGTGCAGTAGATCTCGTCTTAATAATAACAGTAGTCAGGTTATGAGATAAATGATCAATTTGAAAAATGAAAAATAATATGAAAAATACATAAAAAATCCGTTTTGGTTTCCTCAGCTTTCTAAAAAAAAATTTTTCAAATTTTTGTTTCGAGCGAAAGCTTGCATCCGTTTGATTTTTTACATATCCTAGTTTTCATCGGTAATTATGTAAAGTCTGTGCCCCCCTTATTGCCCCTTATACTTTTCGAAAATTGAATTTTAGAAAATTGAACAACAAGAGAGCAAAAAATTCGAAAAAATCTCAAATTTAGTGTTATCTGGAGATCCTAGGCAGGAACCTCTTCAATCGATTTTCTAATTGAAACAGCATGGGTCTTGGAGAATGAGTTCAATAGATTCACAGGAGTAAGCTTGCCGGTACAAGGAGCGTTTTCATCAATTGTAGATTTGGATTGAGAACTCAGCCGAAGGCTACGTGAGACGGTTAGATCCATAGCACTTTGTCCCATTTTTTATAGCTGATTCGTTGCCGGCCGTTGGCTATGAGTTACCCCTCCTTGGACATGTTAAAAATCACCGTGGGCCACTGTATTATTCCCGTGGCTCTACACTAAAAAATAGCGGACCCCGCGCCTATTAGAAATCACCATGGATCCACGGTCACTTTTCACCGTGGATCTACGTTAATAATTGGCATAAGGCGTAGATCCACAACAAAAATTGCCGTGGATCCACGGTAAAAGTTACCGTGGCGCATGTGTTGAGACACTGCCATATTCAATTACCTCCTATCCGATAGTTTTTGACCTCCTGATCACGAATCTGATAACATAACTGGTATGTTGGGAAGACAAATAGTTTCCGACATACGCAGAAATTTGTATACTGCTCTTTGCATTACCCAGGGCCACGGCGAGGATGTAGCGGTTATCGCTCCCACGACAACACACTTTGGTACATTTAAAAACTAGGACAACACAAAGAAGTAGAAATTATTGACGTTGACACTCGGTACACGCCTGAACACTCTCTTCTCTTTCATACAGCAATTTCTATAATGAAGTTTATAATTATGAATTATAATTAAACAGTTGACACCTATATCTTGTGCCCACGTAGTATACTCATGCCTCCCCCGATGGATGGACCTCTCCTGAGTGTGGCAGATGTTTATCCGCGATTCCAGACGTACTGGCTGATTGGAGACTTTGATTATCATTTGATATAATCCCTGACCCGCTGTTGTCCAATCCTTCATGTAAACATGAGGATTAGTCCACTTTCGGTATTTCATTTCTTGGGGGGGCTGTTCTAGACATTTACCTTTTTTGGAATTCTTACTACCTATTTTCGTCTTAAACTGATTACCAATTTTTAGAAACAATCACTGATATTTTGACAACTACTCCACCAATCGGGTGGAAAATTAGGACAGATCAAGTTCATACTTCATATTAGGACTTATGACCTGAGGAAATTTCAGATTTTTAGAATCAATTTATCGGTTTATTCTTCCTATTTTCCAAAAATTAACTATCCGCACATACTCACACATGACCTTTAAACTTCGAATTTCTACGTTTCAGACCGTTCTACATAATTCCCAAGCAGGATAAGGAAATTAAAAAATTAAACAATTGCAATGCTTCCATTCGGACCCGAAAGCCGGAAAAATGGCAATGTCTCGCGATTTTTCTATGAATGGATATACATATTTTCATAGCTTTATATGTACACACTGCGACGAGTATTTTGAAAAAAAAATTGGAAATCCTTTTGTAGCTAATTGGCACTAAAGGCAATGAGAATCGCCTGGTTTCAATATTGTCCAATCTAATATTTACTAATGCTGGCAATTGTAGTACAATATAATAATATAAATATTCTTCCCCATATAAAAAGGATAGCATAATGACTACCGCTCAAAAATCGAATTGAAGAAAGTCGAAAGAAATGGCAATTGAATTTTAGAATGGCGGCTGCGAGAGTATCGAATTGAAGGAAGTCGAAATCAAATGAGAGCAAGCTCCTGTATGATCAATAGCAGATGGTATGGTTGAAGAAATTACTCTCAATTTCAAGTCGCAGAATTCTAATCGGAGCTAAAATATAATATATTGAATACGATTTATGTGTAATTGCGTGCATATGGAGAAAATTGTTTTTGGAAAAAAGATAAATTAGACACTATCATGGTGAAAGGCATGAAAAAAAATGTCAGGGTGAAAACTTTCAGTTCTCATGAAAAAGGTGTTCTCAATATTGCAAATATTTCAGTGACGATGAGTATTTCTAATTTTTGCCTTCAACGCGACTATTTGTTGAATGAAAAACGATTAATAAATTTATGGATCATTATTTATGACTGTTCATTTGACAGATAGTTCCGGTCAAGGAAAAAATTCTTAGAACGATTGTGAAATTCTGTTCAATATTGGAAAAATTTTATTCAGTTAATCCAGCAATTCTGTATTAATGAATCACTTATTGAAATTTTGAAATTGAATAGGTAATGAACCGAGATGGATAGTTCTCATTAATCTGATCCTTCGTAAATTGGGGACGATAATGGATAATTAATTAGTTCCAAATGAAAAAAAAATGCAGAGCAAATATGATGTAAAGGTATCAGTGATGGCACGGCAATCTGATTGGTTGAATAGACAATGAAGAGAAAAGATCTCAATTCTAAAACAATTTTTCTTCTCGCATGAATAATATTTTGGAA